AAATTAATTATGTAAACATAAAGCTTTCCTTCTTCTTTCTACTGTTTTCAGTACCAAAAGTCTACGTACGAAATTCCTGCTCTATTTTCTGCTTCAGAAACTCCATTTTCTTTGCTTCCCCGTGGACCAGCAGGACATTGTGTGGCTCAGCCTGGCGAATCAGCTGCATGATTCCCTTGGCATCAGCGTGGGCACTGAAGGACATGTACTCCACCTGCATCTTTACTTCCAGCTGCAAGAGGAGGGGTGGGAAGCAGAGGTGCAGTGAATCAGTAGCCACTTTGCCTTGTATACCATGTGCAAACTGACTGAGACCTCTCCACGTTTACTTTAAAGAAGAACACTTAGATTGGGAACATCTCTCCAACCTAATTTCCCAATCCAAGTGTTCCATGCCCTTGGACTGGGAAATTCAGGTGAGGAAGAAAGCTGCTGGACAGCAGAAGCGAAACACATCGATACTCAGAAAAGCTCCCAGTAACTCAGAGTCAAATTGCATTTTTAGAGCACAGTTCCTTCCACACATCTGCCAAAACACAACACTCCAGTAGGCTCAGGATCAGCTTCAATAGCCCCTTCAGTGTGAAACTGTATCACTGCTACCTGACGACAGGGTCTGCTTACCAAACAAAGTCATTAATACTCCTCTGATAAAGACCGTGGGCAACAGAATGGCTGAGAAGGCACACTATTGCCAAAGCAATGACAAAACAGCCCAGTTCCATTCTGATTGAAATGTTACTCAGGTATTTCCCATGTTACATGCAGCACATTCCCCTATAGATATATATCTATAACACATGGTGTCTAACTGCCACCTAAAGTCCCAAAAAGCTTCCCCAAAACAATCCTCATTGAAAATAAAACTTACTATTTGCCTTCCCTCCATTTCCAGCTTGCGTTGTCCACTCAGGATCTTATGGCCCACTGTTCCCTGCACACAATAGCCTGGCATGATGACCTGAGAAAGAAACCAGGATCGTTTAGCCCCACACCTTAGGAAAACCTTTGTTCTTACAATGCTATCTGCAACAGTATCACATTAATACAAAACATCACTTAGGAAACAGAATTTCTTACCATATTCTTTTCATTCCCTGCCCATTTCCTGAAGATCTGCAGGGACTGCCCTGCATGAAGCATACCAGGTGTTGCAAACACAACCTAGAATCCAAAGACATGTCAAAAACAACAGCAGAAAAAATACGTGTTTATCTAAAATATCATTACATATAAATTTCCTAAAACTGTGGAGAGGATCTACTAAGTACACATTACAGCACACTTACTACAACAAGGCTGTAACGGGGCCTCAACTGTTAATGCCAACCTACCATTGGTCCTGGATTATCTGCAAAGGCTCTATCAAATGCTTTGATGTGTTTGAACTCAAACATGTTTCTCTGCACAAATGTCTTCCGGATTTTCTGATTAGTCCATGTGATGAAGAGCTTGTAATAGTGATTAGCCTTCTCTGTCAGTCCAGTGGAAAAATAAATTGGAGCTTTCAAGTTCATTCTTTCCCTGGAGAAAGAAGAGATCCAGACACAGGTGAGGACCAAATTAGTATCTTAGTTCTCAGTGCTCAAAGTCCACGAACCTCTGTAGTCTCCAAAGATTTCAGGGCACAACATGCTCTCAGGAAACCACCAGTCAATATTTTGGCAATCCTGGACCATTATGCATTTACTTTGGTACTACCAGAAACATTTCCATACGATGCTTATAAAAAGTTGAACGCTTTTTTTTTTAATCCTTCTTTCTTCCCTTCCACATAAAAACAGTTTCACAATGTGGCAAAGATGCCATCAAACTATTTAATGGACAGCTGGTTCCGAGTGCTTGGGGAAGGAGGAGTGATCCTGGAGAGGAACATGTTCAGTTTAATGCTTAGAGTCAGAAACACTGATAAAGAAGTGACACGTGGAAAGAAGCACTTCTCACTATGGGCCAACGTGCAGAGAAAAACTAAGGAGGGTATTTGTACCAAACAGAAAAGAATCGTAGAAACCTTGAGGACATCAACGTGAAGAGGACAAGGAGGGAAGAACGTGCACCAAAGAGACTGCACTCACCAGAACGTTTCCAATAAAATACAAAGTTCCTGGGCACGACCAAGGGCAAAAACTGGGATAAGAACCTGAAACAGAGACATGATTTAGTCTATGAATCCTGAAGAGCACACAGATAGCACTGCAGCATTACCAGTGCTGAACAAGAGCTTCCCAGGGAGCAGAAAAGACATCACTCATCATCAGAGTGCTCTACCTTTCCCCCTCGTTCCACAGTCTCATGAACTTTCTTCAGGAAGTCTCTTTCTCTGCAGCGTTTGGAGTCTCTGATAGTTGTGGCATAGGTGGATTCTGTTATTAACAAATCGGGGCGACACTTATCAATCCAGGCAGCACTGAAACAACAGGGTTTTTTATGAGTCATCAAATTAAGAGCCAGCATCCATCACTTCTGTGCAGGTCTCGGCTGCAGAACATCACTATCTCCATGCGGAGGTAGAATTTAACCCAGCTCAGAATAGAGACCAACTCCATGGATTTTGAAAAGCAATTCTTCAGTCTGTTATTTGTTTAATTTTTTTATGCTTCCTAAGCTTTGTAGATGTTAAAAATTCTCACAGCCAGTAAAAAGAAAAGCAGTGTTAAAGGTGGTGACTGGCACTCTCTTAAAAAGCAAATGCTTGTGGAAGATACCACAACAATAAAGCATTTCAAACATTAAATCCAATTATCACACAAACTTAAAAATGGATTAATATGCGTACAGAGAAAAAGATTATATTAAGGTCTGTCCTGGGGACTCAATTTAACTCTGATCCTCGTAATTCACACTTGCATTTATCTTTGCTGGAAAGACATCATTAAGCATCCCAGTCTCCCAAAGAACAAAGGATCAATGCTGGTAAGCCCCCATGTATTAACAGAAGCTGTGGTAAAATTGCCCTGCTTGAAATAAATACAATTCACAGAAACTCAGCTTCCTACTTACCCTAGATGTCTGTCTGGTGTCATGTTATAATCACCCTAAGAGAGGAAAGGAAATCCATTTATTTTCTCAAGCTAATGGAACAGCCTATTAAAAGGAAACGTAGGCATCTGTAACTCCTGCTGTGCATACTTACAGTGTACACAACCGACTCACATCCAACCTTGATCTGGAACATGGCTGCTCCCAGCACATGGCCTGCATAGTACGCCTTGATCTCCAGCTCCTCATCCACCTGCAACACGTGCAAACACCGTGGTAAGCACTTCACAAACAGAAAACTGCTCTGCCTTCCACAACAGTTCAGTAGGTCCAATCCAAGCCTATGCAGAAATGGCCGTTTACCTGAACTGTCTGATGAAGATGCACAGCGACCACTTTTTTCATGCAGTCCTTAATCATCTGGGACGTGAAGAAGTTGGTTTCCCCTTTCTTATCTACAGTTATTTTCCTGTAGTCCTCCAGGAGGATAGGACAGATGGCCTTGGTAGGATGCGTCATATAAATGGGCCCATCGTAGCCAACCATCTCACTGAAATAGGGGAGAGCTCCACAATGGTCCAAATGGAAGTGGCTGCAAAAGAGACAGAAAGGATAAAGACATCACATAGCAACTTAGACTGGTTCTCATAGCTTGCTTCGCCTCTTCAAAGCACTCCACGAAATAAAAGAACTTTTCTTTTTTTCCCTTTAGAAACAAAACTTGCCTACTTCCCATTTCAGCTGTGATCAGGAAGGAAGCTTTCTCACCTGATGATCACGCAGTCTAGAAAGTCAGTCAGCCTCCCGTTCTGAGTAATGTAGGAAAAGTCAGGAAAGCGCCTCTGCAAAGAGGTGAAGAGCAGGTTACCAACCCAAAACAAAGCCTCAGTGCTACATCATTAACTGCAGGGACCACCAGCAGGAACCACCTGCTACACTGGATGCTGTAACCCATCTCAAGGCAAGACTGAGCTGCTCTCAGCAACACAGTAAGGGCTGCAGGCAACGCCACGGATACTCACTCACATGCAGGAAGAGTCAGAAGGAAAAAGGATGAGCTTCTCTACAGGCTGAAGGAGCAGGGCTTGTTCAGCCTGGAGAAGAGAAAGCTGCACGGAGACCCTATTGAGGCCTTTCAGTGTTTAGAAGGGGATTATAAAAAGGAGAAGAATCAACTTCATACAATGGTAGATAACAATAAGACAGGAGAAATGGTTTTAAGTTCAAGGAGGGAAGGTTTAGATTGGATGTCAGGGGGAAGTTCTTCACAGAGAGAGTGCTGAGGTGCTGGAACAGGCTGCCCAGAGAGGCAGGGGATGCTCTGGAGGTGTTAAGACCAGGCTGGATGGGGCTCTGGGAAACCTGGTCCAGATTAAATGTGGAGGTTGGTGGCCCTGTCTGTGGCAGGGGGTTGGAACGAGATGATCCTTAGGGTCCCTTCCAACCCAAGCCGTGCTACGATCCTACAAGAGTGACAACCAGCGCCGCCTACAAACAGATAAATCGTGCGCTCCTCCCTGCCGTACTCACGTCATCGTTGTAGCCCATGTGCATCCCGCAGTCCAGCATCACGTTCTTCCCCGCGATGGACACCAGGATGCAGCTGCGCCCCACGTCCTGCCCGGCGCCTGCAGCGAGTCAAGGGGGCGCCATAACGCGGCTGCTCCGCAACGCTCGGCGCGGATCCACGGCGGGGGCCCGAAGGCGGCACTTACCGAGCGGCGTCACCTTGATTTCGGGCATTTTAACCCCCCCCCTCAAAGCTCAAAGCGCGGCCGGGTTCTTCCGGAAACGGTCTACGAGGCGGCGCGGCCCGGAGGCGCGCTTTCTTTTACGGCCACATTGCAAGGGCTGCTCAAATAGAAGGGGATTTAGCTCCGATCTGGATAGAAAGCGTTCCGAAAGCAGCGCTCAAAACACCGAGGCCCTCAGCCGCAGGCGGACGCCGCTCCGTCGGTGCCGCCCCGCTCCCGCCCTTCTCCTCAACGTCCCGCGCACGCGCGGTTCCTCCCGCCCGGCAAGATGGCGGCGGCGCCGGGCGCCTTCAGCCTTCGGGAGGTGCTGGCCGCCTTCCAGGCGTGCGTGACGGAGCAGCGCGAGGTGCTGCTGGGCCCGTACCTCCAAGGCTGGCGGGGACTCGTGCGGTGAGTGCGGGGCCGGGCGGGGAGGACGTTGCGAACGTGAGGCAGATGACCAAGAGGGCCAACGGCATCCTGGGCTGCGTTAGAAAGAGCGCGGGCAGCAGGAGCGGGGAGGCGATCGTCCCGCTGTACTCGGCAGTGGTGAGGACACGCCTCGAGTACTGCCTTCAGTTTTGGGCCCCTCGCTACAAAAAAGACATTGAGGAGCGTGTCCAGAGAAGGGCAACGAAAGTGGTGAGGGGTCTGGAGCACAAATCTTATAGGGAGAGGCTGAGGGAGGCTGGGATTGTTGGGTCTGGAGAAGGGGCGGCTCAGGGCAGACCTCACTGCGTTCTATGATTACCTAAAGGGAGGCTGTGGTGAGGAGGGGTTTGGCCTCTTCTCCCAAGCAACAAACAGGACCTGAGGAAATGGCTGCACGTTGTGCCAGACGTTTAGATTAGACATAAGGAAGAATTTTTTCTCTCAAGAGTGGTCAGGTGCTGGAATGGCTGCACAGGAAGGTGGAGGAGTCGCCGTCCTTGGCAGTGTTCAAGAGGAGCCCGGATGAGGAGCTGGGAGATGTGGTTTAGTGCTTGTGGTCGCAATGGGGATGGGAGGATGGTTGGACTAGATGATCTTGCAGGTCATTTCCAACCTTGTGATTCTATGATACACGCTTGGCAGCTGCTGCTTTCTATACACTCCATTTATCCTTTCAGCTTCCTGAATGGCTTGGGCGCCATCTTCTCCTTCATCTCCAAGGACGCGGTGACCAAAATTCAGATCATGGAGAGCTACTGCGGCGGGGAGCAGCGGGAGGAGTACCGCACTCTGCAGTCCATGGTGAGCTACGAGCTGAGCAGAGGGCTGGTCGACCTGCAACGGCGATCGTCCCACCCTGACTCAGGTTGCAGGACCATTCTGCGGCTGCACCGCGCCCTGCGTTGGCTGCAGCTGTTCCTCGAGGGGCTGCGCACTGCCCGGCAGGATGCCAGCACATCAGCCATCTGCACGGACAGTTACAACGCCTCGCTAGCTGCCTATCACCCCTGGGTCGTCCGCAAGGCTGCCGTCGTGGCATTCTGTGCGCTGCCGTCACGCGACGCCTTCCTGGAGGTGATGAACGTGGGAGGCCCCGAGGAGGCTGTGGAGATGCTGGGCGATGCTCTGCCCCACATCCGTGATGTGTACGGCATCACGCAGGAGCTGTATGAGCAGCACCGCCTGCTGAACCTGCCCTGAGCACATCCCCATCCCCTTTTTGTACCCACACAGAGCTGATGGTGCTCAGCTGTGGTCTGATGACAAAAAGGAAATGCACTAAAATACATACAGTTATATATATATATCATCACCTCAGCTCTACAGGGAGGAAAAGTGTCCACAAGCACAGTCAAGGGAATGCTTCTCTCCCCCAGGCTCCAGTGCGAGGCTTTGGGGTCTTGCTAAGCCAAACTGCACCTTCAGCACTTGTACCACGGAATGGTGACAGCACCAAAGGCTGTAGGTAACTCCCTTACACCGGATATCTCAACACCTGCACCTTAAGCTCACTTGGCCACTTTGTTTACAAGCTGTTCCCTTGGAGCTGCTGCTTTCCCCCCCACACTCTGCTTTAGCACTCAAAATAGAATTCTGGTAACATGTCTGAAAAGAACCTGCTTTAGCACTCAGAATAGAATCCTCCTGTCTGAAAAGAACTGCCTTCCCTTGTGGTCACCAACAGACTGTTCCTTTCCATATGGATCCATCCTGCAGGGCTTTGCTCATTGTTTCTTCTGTCCTTTGTGTGTCTTGGGGCGTGGACCAGTTCTTCCCGTGTCCTACATAGCACTACATACCCAGCTAAGGCAGCTGACTGTATTTTTTCTCTTAGCCTTGCTTCTAAATGGTCATTTGTTATTTATTTTTAATGAATGTGTCAAATGCCTACAAAAGTAACTTCTCTAACTACAATCACTGCATATAATAGCCAGTATCTATATATGAAGTATGTAAAATTGAGTTTACTTAGCTTCTTCAGAGCTGAAAAAGCACAACTCTTTTACTTCAGGAAGACATGAGTGGCTGGGGGAGAATCCCACAGACCATCAGGTTTTGGTTTCCTCTCAACTAAGAGCCACTTTGGCTTGAAGTAACACTGCATGATTCAGGAAATCACTATTACCTCACTGGGGTCAGCTGGGCACTACATTACATGATTAACAAGCTGCTAGAGAGTATCCCTTACAGGAATGCTTTCCTTTCTTGCCCTGTTGGAAGAAAGATGAGTTACAGTGTTATCTGTTCATCTCTGTCTTTCACCAGCAGTCTCTCATTCACTGATCAGGTGTGAAACCAACATCAGAAGTAACCCAGATGGAGTACTGAGAATTTGCCTGTCCATCCTAAATGGGGGAATGGCTGCTATGCTGTAAAGACAAATACTCTCTTTCTGCCAAAGCCACTTCAAAAATAACACAGTTCAATAGAATAAATCCATAGATTAAAATGGAGCAGTTCCACCACATACAAAATACTTCCTGCTGCACTCTGTGATTACAGATGGTGCTGGTATTTCAGCTAGTAAAGTGTATTAAATGCCTTAAATTATATCACATAATCTGTGTCAAATGAAGGTATATTTGATGTCTTGTAGATTTAATGCAGGAATGGCATTGTCACATTTAGTCTCAGCCGTTCCTTGTAGGAGGCAAGCATTACTGTTGAAAATGAAGTTCTGCAATTAAAGAATCAAAGTTTCTCTGCAGGGAAAAGCTCTGTTGTGCATTCATTACCAAAAATTCTGTGCAATATGTGCTTCAAGTGAAAGGCAGTTTTCTATCAGCCTGCATTTTCTCATTTGAACAAGGTAGCCCCTAATGCAAACAGCATTCACTTGGGGTCCCTAGGAAATGTCCCTGCTTCTAAATGACAGGAGCCTTTTGAGCAGCCCCAGCTCACTGACACACAGTATAACTCAGGTCCCGAGCTCTGACCCGCTTCAGAGGTTCTGCTGTCACTGATACAGCCGCATCCACAAGCAAAAGAACCCTTCATCTACAGCGAGTTCTATCCTTGAAAGCTGCAACGACGCGCAGGTTCACTAGAGGGAGCCTGAATGTTCTGCACAAAGTCCATCACACAAACCATCTCCCACCCCGAAGCGAGCCGCCTGGATTTCACCTGCAAGAACAACTGCTTACCAGCACCTCCCATCCTATTCAGAGCTCCGTGCAGCTACGTTTCCATTAAAGGCATTTAAAGTGACATCTGATAATTAAAACTTAATTTTAAGGCTTAAACACTCCACTAAAAGGTTAGGGAAATCTGTAAGGCTATCCTCAAGGAGATGTTGATGTATTACCTGTACAATGGGACCGACTTTCTAAGATGCAGAACGAAGATCAGCCGTGTGTCACTTTGGAGGTATAGGAGCAATGTCTGTGATATGGTACAAATGTGAGTCAGAGAAATACAGTAAAATGATTTTTTTCAGTTCAGAGCCATCCTGCTTTCCCTTAGACTTGACAGAAAGGCACGCAAACCATGAAGGAACTTAAACCACTGTCTTGGGCAACTGGTACCTATGTCATTAAGCTGAAGTTAACATCAAAGCTCAGTGGGAGAAATAATTAGATTGGCTAATAAGGACTTGGAGGAGATCTTGGTACAGTTACAATTAACAGCTCACCAACCTCCAGCCTGGATGGGGTCTGCACTGCTGCATCCTTATGATGTCCTGAGGAGGATTTGGGAATCTCTGTGACGAGGTGACCTTCAATTAAAATAAAACAATAAATGACATCAAGCACCCCCAGCTGTTCTGGGATAACTCAATAACTCACAGCCCCAGCAAGGAGGGGGGCAGAGGGAAGCAATGCAGCCCTTAAGTCACTGCCTGCGTGCAGCACAGCAGGATGAGGCAGTGGTTTGCAAACAAGCACACCCAGAGTCCTGCTGCCTATTTGACTGTTGCCACTCAACATCGAGTTACACATTCAATGCAGTTTGCTAAACAAATTCCTCTGTGTTATTTCCATCTCTCTGGGTTCTATTTAAACTGATTTCACGGAAACTGTTGACACTGCATCTCCTGCCCCCATTTGCTCTCCTGCATTTTAATGCTTTCATGAAATGTTTTCACCCCCAAATAGGGAGATTATGATCCCTGAGCTGCTGCTGTGCATGAGCTTTGGTTGTGCAGCAGCCCTCAAGCCCAGCTGCCTCTCAGCTCAATTTAGGAGGCCTGGTGACTACATCATTGGAGGCCTGTTCCCTTTTGGGATGGACACCATCAACCTGACAGCACGATCAGAGCCCACCTTAATTGTGTGTGAAAGGTAAGACGGCTGTCTGTTTCATTAGCACGTGTTACATTTGGTCACTTGGGCGCAGCTGAAGGCAGCAGACGGGATGCTGAGATGTCAAAGGACACTGAGCACCACAGCACCCGTGGATCACGTCATCCCCTGCCCCCTCTTCCTGCAGGCTATTTGTAGATGGGCTGATATGGGCCCTTGGGATGAAGTTTGCTATTGATGAGATCAACAACTCCACGTCACTTCTCCCAGGAGTGGAGCTGGGCTATGACATCTGCGACACCTGCTTCGAGCCACTGGCAGCCCTACAGCCCAGCTTGCTGTTCGTGACCCAAAATGGCACAACAGACATTGGCATAGCATGCAACTACACCGACTACCAGCCTCGTGTCACTGCTGTGATTGGACCACATAAGTCAGATCTCTGCCTGCTGACAGCCAAACTATTCAGCTTCTTCCTGATTCCACAGGTAAAGAGATTCCCAGGAAAAGTGAGAATTGTCCTTTTTGGTGGTGGGGGGGGAGGGTTTGAATGGCTTAGTTCAGTTGGAAGGGACCTCTAATCCAGCAACCGTGTGCGCTCCATGTCTTTGGAATGGGACCATTAGAAGCATAGCTTTCAATCCTTGCCATGGATGTCCTGTGTGATCCTGAGCAGGTGGTTAAATTTCCTAGAACACACATCAGTGTTTAACTCACCAGAGAGGAGAGGGCTAACGCACACTGCCCTGCAACCCACGTGAAATGGGAATTCAGATTGGAAACTGGGAGAGAATTTCAATTGTGACTGTAAGCACTCAGTTATCTCAACAAGTTATCTTAACAAAGCTGTCACAGTCAGGTGAACGTAGCTCTAAGGTATTTCTGAACCTGCAGGTCAGCTACGGAGCCAGCAGTGAGAAGCTCAGCAACAAGGAGCTGTACCCATCCTTTTACCGAACTGTTCCCAGTGACAAGAACCTGGTGGAAGCTGTGGTCCTTCTGCTGAACGAGTTTGGATGGAACTGGATCGCCACCATTGGAAGCGATGATGAATACGGCCGAGGAGCCCAGGAGCTGTTCTTAAGCACAATTGGAAATGGTAGCATCTGCATTGCTTATGAGGGCCTAATTCCTTCAGACCTCACAGACCCCAAGGCTGAGAAACAACTGGAAGAGACCATTCAGAACATTAACAAGACCAATGTCAACATTATTATCCTTTTTGCCTTTCAACAGCCAGCCCAGGCCCTGCTGGAACAGAGCATCAAGATGGGACTAAGCAAGAAGGTTTGGATTGGCACTGAAGCTTGGCTGTTGTCTGACATAGCTGCCTCCATCCCCAACATTCAGAGCATCGGGACAGTCTTAGGCTTCATTATGAAAGCAAGCAGCGTCCCTGGCTTCCAGAAATACGTTGCCAAGTTACTCACCTCTGTTCAGCAGGATGAATTTTGCCAGAAGTCCAGAGAATCCTACCGCCACATGAGCTCTGACATGCTGGGCACACAGTGCAAACAGTGCGACCACATCTCCCTGCATGACATCTCCTCCACCCTAAGCCACTCCCAAGTACAACCGGTGTACATCGCAGTCTACAGCGTGGCTTACGCGCTGCACAGAGCGCTGGGCTGCACCCACCAAGGGTGTCCCAAAGCATCCATCAGATCTTGGCAGGTAAGGAAAGGTCTGAGGGACCAACAGCCATTTTCCATTCATCCCCTAAGCCAGCATGCCACATTCCCCTCTCCAGGGCTGCATTCAGGCTCCCACCACCTGGGCCTGGAACAACAAACAGAGCAGCTGAGAATACAGCAAGGAGGCTGATAGCTGCAACCTTAGCCCACATCAGGGGGAACTGATTTCATCAGTCAGCTTACTGCATTAGCAACCTCCAAGGAAGAACATGAGCTGCACTGATACCTACTGTTAATTCTCATTCTCTCCTCAGCTGCTGCACTTCATGAATACCGCCCCATTCATGGTGAATGGCCAAAGTTTCAGGTTTGATGAATCCCATGGCACAAACACTGGCTACAAGCTTATATTCTGGCACTGGGAAAATGGCAGCCTCACATATCTGTCTGTGGGAGACTACCAAGAGTCCTTGTACCTCAATAAGTCCCTGATTCAATTTCACACTACACACCAAAAGGTAAAGAGGGTGGGCAATCTCATATTGCTTTTAAGTACCTGTTTTGCCACTTCATCATCAGAACTGTCCATGAAGAGCTGCCAGCCTACATGCTGCTCCTACAGGATTTGTGTGAGACCCAGCCTGTGCTCTCCTCCAAACAAGTAATCCATCTCCACTGTACAAAACCAGAATTAAGTTAAATTAGGTATTCTCAGCACTGACACGGATGTGATGCCAGCAAAGCATAGCCAGTCTTTTGTTGGGTACCCAGCTGACACTTCTTTCCCCTTTTGTTCAGGAGCCCACATCAGAATGCTTCAGAGAGTGTGAACCAGGGCAAATCAGACAGAACAAAGGGTTCCACTTCTGCTGCTATGACTGCACAGACTGCCCAGAAAACACCTTCTGCAGTTCTAAAGGTGAGGTTTGAGAAAGGCAATGGCTTTACTTGCTTGTACTGTGTCTATCTACCCCTTAAAGTCACACAGGTTCACAGAGCTGATAAGGACCTGCTGCAGGCTCCTCCTCCAGGAAGCACTGAGAGGGCAGGAAGTTTCTCTCCGTTCTGTTCTGCTGCAAAACAGATATTCAGATATATCTGCTGCTGCAGATATTCAGTGCTGGACCTTCCTCTGATGATCCCTCATAGAATGTGCAAGGACAAGGTGTATGCTCTATCTCTGAGGCAGGAGAGAGGAGAACTGATGGAATTCCGAAGTCTTAGCTAGAAGAGAAGCCTATGATGGAGTTCTGGGATTTGGTGGATGCTGGTGATCCTTCCTGGGATGAGAAATAAAACCAAGAAACAACGTGGCAACTTTTGAAAGGAAGGTAGTGAAGTAGAGAGGAGAAAAATAAAAAAATTTTAAAATCAAAAGCTATGGAGGTCCAATATGCTTGGGAAGGGGGGGGGAAGGCAGCCAAACCAGCACCCAGACAAGTTCACAACTGATCCTTCCCCACAGGCTGCACGCAGCAGGGCAGCAGCACACTCCTGCAACGTGCTTTTCTCACTGGTACTTTGCAGACTGCTCCACCTGCACTCCCTGCATGGAGCATCAGTGGTCCCCTGCCCGGAGCACGCAGTGCTACGACCGCAGCGAGAGATTCCTCCGCTGGGACGAGCCGCTCACGGTTGGCTTGCTGATATCCATGTCCATCATCGCATCCCTGATCTGCCTGACAGCCGTGCTCTTCGTTAAGAACCTCAACACCCCCCTCGTGCAGGCTTCTGGAGGCAGCCTGAACCTCTTTGCCTTGTTTGCACTCGTGCTGATGTGCCTCAGCTCCTGTCTCTTCATAGGGAAGCCCAGTAACAACCTCTGCGTGATGCAGCAGA